TAGGAACCCCAGTAAGGTTAACACTTGATTTCTAAACAGAAACTGTGGAAGGCAGAAAGCAGCAGCATAACATCCAGTGTGCTTAAAACAAAGCAAAAACAGAGAATCAAAACCTGTCAACCAAAACTCCTGTACTCAACGGAGCTTTCTTTGAAAAATGAAGGTGAAATACTTTCCCAGAGAAGGAAAAACTAAGAATTGTTGCTACCACATCCACCTTACAAAAAATTCTGAAGGGAGTTCTTTAGGCTGGAAGCCAGAAACCCTTATACAGCAATTTGTATTCACATGAAAAAAATGGAGTGTCAGTAAAGGTATAATTTGATAAGACAGTATGAATGTAAATTTTTCAGATTATTCTTATAAGTGATTTAAAAGCAGCTGTGTAATATAATATGTCTACAATGTAATGCTGGACCTATAGCTTACAGAAATATATAATGTATTGCCAATAACAATACAAAGGCCACAGGTGGGAGCAAAGCCTCACTGGGCTAGAAAATGTCTACAGGTGGTAACATAATGACCAGCACAAAGTACTGTTGGATTTATAATATTACTGTTTGCAATATTGTAGAACAAATACCATAAAAAAAGAGGAAAGGGGAATAAAGGGACATAGAAACAGTGTTTCTATTTTTTGCAGTAAACAAAGGCTTGTCAAAGAGGCAGTGGAGACCCTGGCTGGAGGCAGGAAGGTGGATTGGAGAAAGGCTCTGGGGCCCAGTAGGCACTTGGTTAGCAAGTGAGCACAGGAGTTGGAGGAAGACAACATAGGTATGTTTCTGGGGAGCAGTTTCCTTTGTGGCCACTGCAGGCAGGGGATGTGAGATGTGAAAGCATTAGTTGCCATGCTGGGCAGTTTGGCCCTGACCCTAAAGCCTTGGCCATGTGCCCAGGAGAAGGGAGTGGATTGACTGATTGTTGATTGATGATCTGAGTTTTTAGACCTAGTGGTAGTCTATGAAGTAGGTGGTCAGATTACGAGATTAGGGAGGGAGACCAATGAAGAAGGTCCGAACAATGTTGGGGGGGCAGTTAGAGACATTTTACAAATAAAAGCACAGTAGAATCTCTCAACTCCAAATTTATAGATCTCCAAGAACACTCGAAACGTTAAAAGGAAAGTGTGAAAGTGACACCAGTGTACAGCCAGAGGGAACATCGTCTTTCTTTATGTTATTTTATTTTTTTATTGAATGGTAACTATGTACATTAATGCACTTCTGGGGTACAGTGTGGGGTTTTCACATGCAATCCGAAATACTTCCATCAAACTGGTCATTTTCTCAGTTATTATTTTAAAACGTTCACATTCTACTCTTAGAAAGATTCACTTGTACCCCTATAAGATAAACCTCAGAAGTGATCCCTCCAATCCCCCTCCCTCCACCCATTCTCCCCTCCCTTCTCCCTCCCCCTTCCCCATATTCTTAGGCTATTTGGTTATAGCTTTCATATAAAAGGTATAAATTAGTTTCATAATAGGGGTGTGTACATTGGATACTTTTCCCTCCATCCTTGTGATACTTTGCAACACTGTCTTTCTTAACTCCAGTCATGTCTGTGACATTCCCACTGCCTTTTAAAAAAATTCTGGAATTTATTTAAAGGTAAATGACCTTTTCAACAACTTGGTTTGTTAACTCTAATCCCCAGACTCTGGCTAAATGTCCATTTACCCAAATCTACTTCTCAGAACCGGTGTGTTCTTCCCTGCTGCTAGAAGGAGCTGTCGGGAAGAGAGGGGAACTCACGCTTTGCCATTTGGAGGAGGGGTCAGATGCTTGGCAGGCCCCTCAGTGAGAGATGTTCTGCAGTGCCCTTGGCTCAGAATGCAGACTTGGCAGGCACAGAACACTCACATTTAACTTCAGTTCTGTTGTATGACTTTGATGAGCAAGAAGTGGCATTTGAGTAAGCGGTTCCCTAGAGAGAAGGGGGGGGGCGCCTGCCCCTGGCCAGCCCACCTGCCTGGGCGCCCGTCCAGCGCAGGGTGTGAGGAAGCGCCCCCTGAGAGGTGCAAAGCCCAGGTGGGGCGAGCGATTCCTAGCGGGCTCCTAGGCAGAAGGACGGAGCCTTCAGCTTCGGGGCAGCTCCGGCCTGGCCGGCGCTGGAAACGCCCACATCTGCCAGGATGGCGTCTCCTGGGCAGTTGTGCTCACACACTGGGACTGAGAAACAGCAGCAGCAGCAGCGACTGCCTCTACAAAATATGGGGCGGGTGAAGGAATACCCAAACGCGCTCCAGGACAAAGGATCTGGCATCCAAGGGGCCGCTAAAGTGGTAAGCTTCTAGAGGTGTATTTGCCCCAATAATCCACAGAAACAACAGTAATCTAAAAATAGTCTTGTTTTCTGTCCTAAGCTCCTTTTAACTTTGTTAGTCATCACCAATTCTTAAAATAAAACCCGTGTAACGTCTCTCCTAGTGGCAGCTATAAACAAACCTCGAGAGGAGGCAGGAGGAAGAGGAAAAGGCGGCGGGCGCAGGCCCGGGCGCGCGTTGGCTTCAGGAGCGCGCGGCGGCCGCAGGGCCCCGGCGCACAGGCCCGGCCGACGCGCGGGGCGGCCACCTCCGGAACTGCTGCGCCTTGGCGCGCGGCCACCGTGGTCCCGGCAACGGCATTAAACAGAGGGAAACAGACCGGGGACTCCGTCACCCGGGCGGGGGATCAGGAGAGCTTACAGGACAGACAGGAAAAGAGAGCTTTTCTGGACGGGGTGAAAAATTACCCTTGGAGAAGGAGGAGGTAGAGGAGGAAGAGGAGGAGCGGGAGCAGGAGGAAGAGCGCCCGCAGCGGGCCGCCCCTCCCCCGTACGGGCCCTCCTCCCTGAGCCGCCCGCAGCTCAGCCCGAGGGTCCCGGGGGAAGAAGGGGGCGGGGCAGACGGAAACTCTAAGGCAAAATGCCGGCACCCGGGGGCGGGCACTGCAGGACTCCCTGTCGGACTCCGGAGGGAGCTGGACTGGCCACGGCGCGCGGCCCTGACGCCCCCCAGCGGCGGCAGCGGAAGCGCCCCCTCTTCGGTCCCCCGTCGGCATCCTCCGGGCTCTCCCGCCTCCCCCCCGCTGCATTCTCGCAGAGTCCCCCCTATCCTCTGCATCTTCGCGGGGTCCCCCTAGTCTCTGCATCCTCCAGGCTCCCCCAGCACCCTTGGGGGCCCCGCTCCCCGCATCCTCGTGGTCTCCTGCACCTCCTGCATCCTCGCGGGGTGCCCCTAAGTCTCTTCACTCTTAAGGCTGCCCCAGGATCCTCTTAAGTATCCCCTCCTGTCTGTGCGCCTGGTGGGTCTTTGGAGTTGGATGGGACCCGCAGGTAGGAAGGCCCGAAAGTGGCTCTGAGCCGCACCCCCACCCCGGGGTGAGCCTGTGCTTACTACCCCACTCACCCGGCGCTTCTCTCCCTGGCTGAGATCTGAGGCTCCTAGAAGGGATTTTGGTTGTCTTGAGTCGATGGCGTGAAGTGGGGGCTTTTCGCTGTGCACTCTCGTATTTTTAAAGTACCCAACTAGCTAGCACGACTCAACGGCCCCTGGGCTTGGAGCGCCAAGTCTTTTTGGGCACCCACTCGGCACCACCACCTCGGGCACCACCTTGGGGCCTTCGGGCCCCCCGAGCCCTGCAGCAGACACGACTTTATTTTAAATAACATAGGGTGTCCTGCAGGGACAGATTTGTGATCTGCATACACCAGACACTGCGCCGCCCTAACACTCCAATCCCTCCAACGCTGAGCTGCGCCCGAAGAGCCGCGGGGCAAGCGAGAGGAAAGTGCAAGTGAAACGCGCGGCTTTGGCAGGGGCCTCCCGGCACCAGCGCGCCCACCCTTGGGAACCCACGTCGGACCTCGGAAAGGCGCCGGCCCTCCGGGCGGCGGGGGACGGACCAGGGAAGCCACAGGCCAGCGCGCAGCGCCACCTCCCCGCGCCAGCCCTGCAACAGGAGATCTGGGTCGCGCAGATATTTACAGAATAAAAAGGACAATAACTCGACGTCTCGGGACGGCTATGCAATCTGTTAGTAATTTAGCGGGATGGGAATTTCCTTTCTAGGGCCTGCCAGTGGAGCACTTTTCCAAATTTCCACAGCGGGGGAAGCCTGCGATTTTACACAATGACTTCAGCGTGCAGGGCTTTCTCCGCACCAACCCCGGCCTCCCCCCCGCACTCTCATTAAGCGGTCTGTGACTCTCAGGACACCCTCGTGGACTCCAGCGTCCAGTCTGGCCCGATCGTCCTGTTTTCCCCTAGTGTGCCCCCCACCCAGATTCCGTGTCTCCTCGCTCTTTCTAGCTGAGTCCCCCACTCATGCGCTCCTCCCCAGCCGTGTGCCCCTTTCCGCCCCCGTGTCTCCCTACCCGTCCCCCACCCCCAGCGCCCTGCCCTCCCCTCCTGCGTCCTTCCTCTGCCCGCGCTCCCTGCCTGCTTGGTGCACCCAGCCCGCCCTCCAGCCTCGGGTCCCACCTCGTGCGCCCCTACCCTGCCCGCGCGCCCCGCCCGGCTAACGCTCTGAGACCTGTCCCGCGGGGCCCGCGCCGGCTCGGGCGGGCAGGGGCGTGATGTCACGGCAGGGAGGGGGCGCGGGAGCTGCCGGGAGGGCGGGAGGCGGGGGAGGTGTTTTCCAGCTTTAAAAAGGCAGGAGGCAGAGCGCGGCCCTGCGTCAGAGAGAGACTTAAGAGACTCCGAACTTGCCGGCAGCGGCACCGCGCGGGTCGCAGCGGCCAGGCACTGGCACAGGGGCGCGGGCGCACCCTTCTGAGGCCCCGCCACTCTCTCGGGTCCCAGGGCCTCGGACCGGCCTTGCCACATGCGCACACGCCCCTCAATGACATTTCCCTGGGGCGCGCGGTACTGAGCCGGACCGGGCGAGTGTCTGCCGGGCAGAGGTCCTGCTTCCCGGGGACCGAGCCCGGGCGGCGGCTTAGGGTGCCCGCTCCTGCGCCTCCGGCCGTTCCTCGGCCGCTCCTCCTCCTCCGCCGCCGCCGCCGCCGCCGCGTGGATGCCAAGTACCAGTTTTCCAGTCCCTTCCAAGTTTCCACTCGGCCCTCCGGCTGCCGCCCTCGGGAGCGGAGAAACTTTGGGGCCCGCGCCACCCGCCGGGGGCACCATGAAGTCGGCAGAGGAAGGTAAGCCCGGCGCGGCCGCCGTCCCCCGGGGTCCCACGGGCCCCTGCGCCCCCACCCCGGCCGCTTCTCCAGCCCCCAGCCCCGTGCGGCCGCGCCCTGGCCCAGAGAGGCGAGGGTCTGGGCCCGGGTCTGTGCGCCAGGGAGGGTCGCGGGCGGCGGGGCGCAGACCGGAGAGCGTGTCCCCGGGTGTTTCCCCGGAACAGCCCTGATTTCCAGCGCGCTTTCTTGCCAATAGGTGTCTCCTCTCCAGCGCTGAGTGCGCGAACTTGGAGGTGTCTGGGGCAGCCTTCCCGCGGATCCGGCTGCAGAAACAGCTAAAAAGCAAGCGATCTGGGGACAGGACGAGGTTAGGGTCGTCAGAATTACAAAGAACACTTTGGGTTGAGGCGACGTTTCTTTGGGAGTGGAGGATGTTCTGTTTTTACCCCAAATGAGGCAAAGCCACTGTTTGATGGGAAGATGATTGAGAGTTGGGGGCCCTGCGCCCACATATGGGTCTCCAGCCACGCTCCCTGGGCACCTAGTGCGCCCGGCGGGCTCCAAGGGGGGAGCCGCTTGGCCGCTTCGCTAGGGACCCTCAAGCTAGCAGCTCTAAAAGAGATGGAGTGCGGGTCCTGGCACAGCCCACAATTGGAGACGTTTGCAGTGGGATAGACAGGAGTTCCGCCAGGGGAAATCTTTCAGGAAAGCTTGAAAAGGCACCGCCAACTTTCAAAGCTGCTGCTTGTAGTAAAAAAGATGGCATGCGCACCTGCCCGGAGCAGTGGTGCGGAGTGCTAGGGCCAGGCTCTCAGCCTCAGGTGCCCAGCCCCTGCTGCCGCTTGTGCCCTCCGTGGTGAAAGATCCACCTCAACAGCACAGACCACCGGTAGGCTCCTGCTGGTGTCTTTGAAGGTTCACCAAAAAGATGGTTGGCCTCCTGGTGGGGGAAGGTGACTGCCTGATGGAAATGGGAACACACCTTTTCAAACTCCTCGTCAATTCTGAAGTATTTTATTTAAATTATATAATACTGGCAAGCCTGCCAATGACTATATTTTGTAAGGGCAGACCCCCTCCTGACAGGCCGCCTGCCTTAGGACCCGCTCCTGAGCTCTGGGACTGACTCACACAGGCCTCTGTGTCCTCAGGGCCTTGGCCTGCTTTACACTGTGGGGACCTCGGTCAAGGAGGCCCGTTCAATACTGCTTACCTATCTACCACTTCAACCCAATTTTCAGAAATACTTAAATGTTTAAACACCAGGCAATGTTTTGCTGTTTACACCATCTGCTCTTGCTATTAGGAAGAGCTAAAGGTACTTTAGGTTGGAATTTTGATTTTAAACCCCTAGACACTTATTTCCCCCACATGACTCTCACCACTGCTGTACAAAAGGAAGGTTTTTCAAAGTTTGGATTTCTTTACTTGAAGAGTGCTTCATCTTGTAATAGGGGATCTTTCTCTCTCATGAGGCATATCAACAGTGGGTAAGGGTATCTTTTACATTTCCTAGTTTATGATGGCAGTGCGTATGGGTACCTTTTTATGTTTCCTAGTTAAGAAAATAAGTTTGAAAATGCCTGTCCTCCAAGGCACCAGAGGCAGTGATGCCTTGGACTAAATGATACTGGCATGTTTTATAAGGACTACAAAATTGGGCTGACCAGATAGTATGATCTAACCCTTTAGACAGGCCGAGCGACTTAGAGGAAAAGTGCTTCCCCGTCTGCCACTGTTGAGAGGTACAGGGAGAGGAGTCTGTGTCCTTTCTGAGTAGGCCCTGACTGGGACGAGTGCAGCCTCAGCACTGTCCAGCCCAGCACATCCCTCGTTAGGGAGCCAGCCCAGCAGGCCCTATTGTTTCTGAAGGTTCCGTGCTCGCTTCTCCACAGAGAATGCAGAGGAAAGGCAGGCCTGTAGGTAGCCTCCTAGTCAGAAGCCGCTCTAGACAGAAGGCCCCGCGGCTCTCCAGAGGAACAAAGCTCACCCTGTTCTCTGCCACTTAATTTCATGGGACTGTGTCCTAATCCAGATTAGAAAATGCTGAGGCTGTGCACCCTGCTTTATCATGCCCAGCCTTGGAGTTCTGCATCTCATTAAAATCCCTCAGCCCCTAGCAAACCCTTCCATCAAGACAGCAGTCTGACGAATGGCCAAATTTGAAATTTAGACCAGCATGGAAGAAAGATGGGCACCAGGAGGGGCTCCTGTGTGTTGCAAGGGGCACATGTAGTAAAAACCCACCCAGTGTGACTGCCCTGGTGGAGATCTGGAACTGGGAGGGGCCCAGTCCAGCCTTCAGACTGAGCAGTCCTGTGGGGCCCAGGGATCTGGCCAAGATTTGTAGAGGAAATGGAAACCCACCGTTCTCCAGGGCAGTTTAGCAAGACACCCTAAACAGATAAGGGCTGTTGTTTGTAACTTTTTGGTAGGGGTGAAAAGGTGGTTGAAGTGTTAAAAATAAGACAACAACAAAAAGAAAAAATGAAATATCGTGGCTTCTCAACAGAAAACAGAACTTCCATTTGCCCAAAGGTCAGCAAAAAAAGCAAACTAAAAACAACCCTCCAACATACATCTCAAAGTGAGAACTATTATTAGAAACTAAATCAGGCCAAACTGAACTATAGTTTATCACTAGAAAAAAACAGCCATTTGTAAAGGTCAGAGAAGAGCAGCCTCAGGGGACCCCCAGGCCTGGCAGGTGCCACCTATGGGCAGGCGATGCCCTGGGGCAGAGCGGGACCGGCAGTCAGCAGGGCTCAGGCCTTGACAGCTGTGCTGCCCCTCTCAGCCTCCCACACAGGATGCTCGGCCGCCATGCGCACGGAATCCCAGATGTTGGTTTTACCTGCTGTCAGGACCTTGGGGAGTTAGGACACACAGCTGGGAGGACTGGGAAGAGGCTGGCTCGGCCCAGCCCTGGGCGTCTGCCGGGTTGGACTCCGGTGCGCTGCCTGGGAGATGCCGGCGGAACGACGCAGGTCCCCAAGGATGAAGGAAGCAGGAGTGTGCGTGTGTTTTAGAGAGGTGGGGTCTAAGGTGTCCCCTGGTGAAACACAGGCCGCGAGTGGAGCGCCAGCTATGACCCCGGCGGCTCGGAGGCAGCAGAGCTGCTTCGTGTAGAGCAGAGAGCTCTGGAAACTGCGGAAACCCTTCCAGTTTCCTGGCACTTTCGGGTAATATCTTTAGCAACGTGGACTGGAAAATGGCATTCCCAGAGTTTACTGAAGTTCCTCTCCCGCTGGCTCCGCGGTGTAGCCCGGCCCTGGCAGGATGCTTGCGCGGCACACCCAGGCAGCGTTTAGGAGGGGACCCGCAGGTTAAAAACTTTTTTAAAAAACTTTAAAGCAAATTCAACAGCCCTGGATGCACTGCTGTTGGTCTTTGACCCTCCTTGTTCCCCTGCGAAGGGAGCCCGCGACATTGGCTGCGCCCGTCCCCGCGGGACCGCGCTCCACGCAGAGCCCAAGCCAGGGCGCGCGAGGCAGAAGCAGCGGGACCCCCGGGTGCTGGGAGACAGCAGAGGCTCGGATGCCCCGGGGTCTCGCTCG